GGTGCCAGCAGGGGCACGCAGCTGGGCTGGGGGCTGAGCAGCAGGCGGCAGACAGCATCCCTCCATCATTGGCCAGGGGACCGAAAGGGGCAGGACGGAGCTCTGAAGATTAGATTTCCATCTCAGCAGCTCCCTTAAACAGAGCCGCCTCGGGGCTCGAAGAGCCTCACCTGCCTGCAGTGTGGACAGCAGCAGCATGTCCCCAAACAGCTGAGTGACACCTGGCACTGGGGCAGTGATGCCACGCTTGACCCCAGGTCCCTCTAAGGCCCTCCCCCCAGCACCCTGCCACCAGGCAGAGAGGACTCACCTGGAAGGGGTAGGGGAACCGTTCGATGATTGAGATCTGCTCCATGTTGCTGTAATCCTCTCCTTTCCTCTGGAAGAGAGAGGCAGAGATGGACACTGGCATCCTGTGCTCAGCTGCTGACATCTCCCCTGAGACCCACAGCCTTTGGGATCCCCCTGCTCTGTATCAAGCCAGACCCCTGGTGTGGTATGGGCAGAGCCCCCCCATGCCAAGCAGGGCTGTCCCCCATTGCCACCACCCCAGGGAAGGGTAAGTCCCCCTACTGCCCCAGTGGGGGGACAGGGGGACAGATGCTGGGACCTTCCTCACCAGGACCTGCCGCTCAGGAGGAGGGTTGTTTTCAGGCACCACCATCTCCACACAGGTGATCTTCTCAATGTCCACAGAGCCCTTCTTACTGCCCCGGCGCTGCAAGAGACAGGCTTGGTTCAAATAGTCACCGAGGGAGGGACCAGGAGAGAAACTATTCCCTGTCCCCGTTCAACCACCCCTTAGGCTAAGTGCTGCTGAGGGACAGCTGGTGACCCCTGGACACTGCTGTGGCACAGCCCCTGTGTCCCTGGGGCTGCAGACTCACCCCCCGCTCAAAGTCATACTCGTAGTAGGACAGCTTGCTCTCTGTCAGCACGAACAGGCGCTTCTTGAAGTTGAGGGGAGATGTTTTCTTCTTCTGCTGTGAGCGCTTCAGGAAGATGCTCTCCAGGATGACACTGGCCATGTCACCCCCGTGGCCTCCTCCACGCTGTGCTCAGCAGGTCGCTGTGGGCAAGGCAATGCCAACACGGTGCTTGCCCAGCCAAAAACCTGCACACACTGGACCTCACTCAGGTGCACTCTCACCCCTGCCCAAAGGGCAGACACACGGTGCTGGGACTGCCAGGGCAGGGGGAATCAGCCAGAGTTGTGCAGGCAGGTCAGTGTGGGTTGGTTGTGATGTGACCTCTCCCATCCCCTCTCCTACACCAGGATGTGGGCCAAGCCACCACCCGGATGACTTATGCTCCCTCCGGATGCTGGAGAGGCCCCCAGAGCGTGCGGACAGACAGACAGACAGACATAGAGCTGGAGAGAGGGGAGGACAGCAAGGCTGTGAGCTGCGCAGCCCCAGGGAGGAGTGCAGAGCCTGAGCAGTGACACCCCACAGGCTCACTCCTCCCCTCCAACGCTGTACGTGTGAACTTGTGGTGGCCGTTTCCTCCGGCCCCACCGCAGGCTCTTCATGCTAGGGACGTACTAACTTGGCAGTGTGCAAGGGTTGGGCATGGGAGGCCGGTCCCTAAAACGTTGTGGAGTGGGTCCTAGTCCTGAATAGTCAGTGTGCTATGCTGCAAAGAGCACAGAGTAGTCCTAAAGTCATCCTTCCCCTCTGTGTCTATGGACTCTGCAGGAGAGCAGGAACGATGCTCAACTCCCTTTCCTCCCCCGTGAGCAGCATGTTGGAGGCCAGGCTCTAAGGGCTGCCAGCAGCCAGAGGGGTTATATTCTTCCCCAGCCCTCCTCAGTGAAGATCTTCTGAGCCTCTTCAGGGAAGGTCAGGGCAGGAAAGGGCTCATATGAGAATCCCACATCCCACTGCTGCCCTGGAAATCGCCCTGGCTCATTTCTTGGAGCAGCCTGTCCATCTCACTCTGTTCCTCCATGCTGTACCCAGGAACTGTGACTCCCACACAGTTCCAACACCCCACAGAACCACATGGCTGGAGCTGTGGGCTGTAACCGACACCTGACTCCAGTCTGGACCTAATGAGGAGCTGATGAGTGAGCTATGTGAAGTCACTCCTGAACTGTGGTCCCTTGGAGCTCTACTCTGTGTCTCCTGCCCTGACCACCTACACACCCTGCTTCCCCTTCACCTACACCTTGTTCCCTTTTTTCTCCTACAGACACAGTTTTGGAGGGCAACCTGGGAGAAGCTGTTTTCCTCCCCTGCTCCCCACAGCCTGTCTCCTCTGGGGGAAGACTCAGAGGTGGGCCAGAGACAGAAGTTCAGCCCCCCACTCCCTCCTTGCAGGAGGCAGGCATCAGTTCACTCCAAAGCAGGGATCAGGTAGGTACCAAAGATGCCGGGACCTAGTGCCACCCACTGTGCCTGTCTCCAGGGCATGCCACAGCCTTTGGGCAGAAGCAGGGACATCCCCACATCTGATGGCAATGCCCAGACCCTTCTGGCTTCAATCCTGATCCTGTGGCTTCAGTCCTGATCCTGTGGCTTCAATATTGACTCTGCCCCACTGCGGTGGCTATAGCCAGAGAGGCTGGGGACAACCAGGGTTCCTCTGTTTCAGCATTCCAGCTTCACTCCCTTTGTGGCACTCATGGCTCAGGCCTTTCCAGTTTGTTTGGGTGGTCAAAACAAAACCCAAATACCTTAAAAAATAGTTATCAGAGTCTTTCAGGAAAAAAAACTGCAGCCTTCATCAAGGCTTCAGGAGGAGGGATCTGGGGTCCCTGCTGGGGACAGGGAGGGTGGTTGGGGTGGTAGTCAAGCTGGGTGCTGACTCCAGACTGCTGGCAGGGTAGTGGGCTATCCCAGAGTGACCCCAGCACACTCTTGTGGCCCCATGCCTCAGTTTCCCTAGCTGTGAAATATGGCTCTGTGTCTCAAGAGCAGGAGGGCTCCTATTGCCCTCCCTGGCACAGACAGAGCAGAGTGGCCCTGGGCTCCAGCGCATCCCAACTGCAGTGCCAGGTCCCCAGAGCTTTACCTGGAGTTGCAGCAGTTGGATCACTGCCAGCAGTGCTGGGCAGGTGGGACACATCCTTGCTGTGTCCTCTGCAACAGTACCACCAGAAAGGAAAGGACAATGAGTGCCTCAGAGGGCTGTTCTGCCCCATCATGGCACAGTTGGCGTGTTCCAGCGCAGACCTGCTCTGCCCCTGCCTGTCCTTTGGTAGGTGCCCCGAGGGACTCACCCCCACAGCCAACCATCACTGCCGTTCTGTGACAGCAGAGGTGGTGAGTGGGTGGGTGGAAGCATGTCCTGGGCCCCCCTGGCTAATGTGACTTCCTGCAAGGCTCACACCTCAGCCAAGCATGCTCTGAGATCACCACCAGGCCGGGCACACACTGCTCGCCCTGTGCCCCATCATGGTGCCAGGACCACCCCTCTGCAGGCAAGCTCTGGTGCCTGTCCAATCAATGCCTGCTGAGGAGCAGAGCCTGTCGGCCACGCTGGCTGCTGGGGGCCTGGCAGGGGGCTGGCACGATCAGGACCAGAGGGAGGGGTGACAGGGTGTCTGGGAATGACAAACTTCACAGCCCCCATGTTTCAGGTTGAGCCTGGAGAGTATCAAAGATGATGGGTGGGAGGGACAGAGGT